CATTAACAATTCCTCTTCCAATTTCTTTTTCTGCAAATCTGCTAGTTCTAGCCGTTTATCAAGCAGTTGGTCGTATTTTTCAGCTATTTCAGACCTTGTTAGACAAAAGCGGAGGTGCCATAGTGATTCTCTGATTAACTAACAGACGATTAGTTTGCGACGGTGCAACACATTTTTTTTTAAACACCGGTTAAGATATAATCCGTGTTTAAAGCGAAAACGGTGCAACCGGGGGTTAAAACTAATCTGCTGCACCGTTCAACTTTATCATCCGCTTAACTAAGTTCCACCTAGTTCAGGGATTTTTGATAATTTTAGGGGATTTCTTACCTGCCTAAGTTGAAAGCTTCTGACAGAAACGTCTGCAAGAAAACGATCGTTGGACTTTATTTTGAAGACGATTAAAAGCGTGTAAATCTGTGTAATGTGTTTTCAGTGCGAAAAAATTAAATGAAATGGAATACCCAATGAAATCGGAAAATACTAAATCACCCAATCTTTTTACTAATTACACTAATTTAATTGGAAGTGCGCATTCTTATGCTGCCGATTTCAACGCCTCGTCACCAAGTAAAGTCTTCCGCAGTAAAGAATCTTTGTGGAAGTGATACGAAAATAGAAAAAGAAGTCCCGGATGATTGTGTCCCAAAAAAAAATCGATAATACAGACCGGCTGTGGTGCAGCATTTACACCTTCCCAGGACCCTTGGAATGAAATTATTAAGGACGTCAGAAATGAAAGCGGCAAGCCGTAAAAGAGAGCGAGAAGAAGCAGAGCATGCTCTCAAAGTAAAATGCTTACAATTAGACATTGCTCTTAAGGAAACCAAATTAAAAAAAAATAAATCCGAATAAAAGAAAAAACTAGAATTGGTGTTTTTATATAAATATATTAGTTGTACCATTACAGTCTCTTTGGTTAGTCGAAACTTTTTAAAAAATGTGTAATCATCCAAATCATGAAAATGATTTGCACGATTGTTAATCCGCCTTGGCACGCCAAATTCAATTATCTCCAATTCATCTATATCGTCGTCATCGTCCCATATTAAAGAATTCATAAAGAACGCCATGACCCTATCAGATATTCGCCGAACAAGAATGAACCTAAACGTGATTTCAATAGTTTGTTTTTGGTTATGTATATATTTGTAACCCGTCAATCAACCCGCGACGCTTGCGTATACGTCCCACTTATGGCCAAGCCGAACCGCGAGTACGGCTTAGGCTAAGTGCCACTTAGACTGGTTTAAGTGGCGCTTAAACTGCGGTGCAGTCAACTTAAACTATTAAGTTCCACTTAACTCCTAAGCCGAAGCGGTGCAGTTGGCCCTTAGTTCAATGTCATTCCCGCGTCAAAACGCTTAGTTGTTGAGAGCCAGAGCTGTCAAGCTCCTCGCTTGTGTCAATTTGCCACTCGCCTGCTGTATTCAGCCCGATTTAATTACTTGGTACCTTGTCCTTATTATATGATCGGAACTATTATTAAATAGTAATTCAGGTTTTCAAATGTGGCGTCAACACACGCCTATGGTCGACCGGTTTTATAAACAATGAATCGGAACTAATTGCGAATGCGAGTCAAATCAAGCGCGATGGGCAAAAGTAGACCCACCAAAAATAATTTTGTGGTGATCCACATCACCAAGTGCACTGACTAAATGTACAGCCGGAACGTCATTCACGTCATAACATACGTCTTGCTTGCTTCTGAAGAATGCTATGGCCGCGTTGACAGATTTGTCAACAAATACGTCCATTCATAAGTTAAACACACAACGTCTGACAAAACCGAAAAACTGTTAAACATCAGCATAAAATCTAATACGAATTGACAGATCAGAATAGAAACAGTTTAACATCGTCTAAATGGATACAAGGGACAGACGTCTAACCTGGGTGAAACAAAAACGAGTTCTATGAATGATTTTTATTAAGCAATTTTACATTGAAGCCCCTTTGTAGTCTGTACAGGAGGTAATTTTTCCGTTCTGATGCGGTAGCAAACAATACCATCGAACTGATTTGTATATACACTAGAACTAAAATGACCCTTAAAGTGTAAATTAATATAAATATCGTAAATTTAGCATTAATATTAGTACACATTTCCGTGAAGGCTTCTTGAAGCGCGAGTGCGCCATTTCTCGTTGACGTTCGTATGAAACCAATCGAGATTTTTGTCATGTTCAAGACGCTGTTACAGAAACATTACGGATTGTACAGACTGCAACGTCGAAACGAAAATGAACAGTTCAAAAGGAAAAACACCGGCCGAGTCAATAAAACTGAAACGGCACTAAGGAAAGTACGCGTGTATCGCTTTCCAATAAAATGTAGTAAAGTCTTTGTTGCACTAATGCATCGATAAGCACTCACGTATCAATCGAGCAAAAAACTTTCACAATAAAAAATACGCCCTAATTACTGTAAATTATCAGTCTACTACTATACTGTACGACTTTGCTAAAGACAGCAGGTATGCCTTTACACTATTTACAGGGAAAATAGTCGTCACTGATTTATTTCACATGACCGCAAACGGTACAAAATAGCTTTCACACTCCTCTCCGGTTTTGCGCCACTGGTCAGTTTTACCCTTCAGAAACACTAAAGCACATCCATGCGGATCCAGCGGCGACCAGTTACAAACACATCTATTTTGGAATGCTTCATGAACAGTCACTTTCTACGACACCGTTTATGTAATGTTGTGATCCGTTGCGCGGTTTTATTTGGTCGGGTATGGGTTGATTACCGTGACGGCTGCAGCTTGTTGGCTGGCCAGAACCGCAGCTGAAAAAAGCGTCAATTGCGTCCGTTAGACAAACACCACACAACTATCCAGATTGATTGATTGATTACCCAGGAGCGTGTTCATAATCAAAGCCCGAACGGGCCAGAATCACTCTCTTGTATAAACCTAACCGCTTTTTTGCTTATGAACCCCCTCCTGCTTCTGATATTAAACAGGCTTTTTCTAGGGGAGCGACAATGATTCACAGTATGTAGAAGTTAACACAGGTTGTCCACATACAGGGCAAACAGTCGAAATATCGATTGGTACCAACTTTACCCTCCCAGTCTTAATCTCCCATAGAGGGAAACCATTGCTGCTCCCAAACGCATCGGCACTTAAAGCTCGTTCACACAGTGACATCTAATTTCCTGACGTGAATGTCACGTGTCGAGACGTCAAAGCTCGCGCACACTGTGACATCTATTTTCGTGACGTGAAGGTTGCAACAATATCACCACCCCCATGACAACTCAATGGGATAGCCTTGACCATAAAATTAGTTCGGTAAACAAATGCAAGAGGCGCGTTGGTGGCGGGAAGAAAAATGAAACTCGCCATGTGGCTGTCGTTCAGAGATGCCAAGTCTACCGATTTGTCAAGGAACCTACCGATCTACCGATGCATGCAGATTTCTCCCGAAAAGTAACAAATAAAATTTTAAAAATTATCCGTGGAATACTTAAAATAATAAAACCTACAATCTATTTCTGATGTTGCAATGATATTTCCAAATTTAATAACTGATAGTGAATGACAAGGTCTGGACACAGAGTGACGTCTGTAGCGAAATGTTGAAGAAATTTAAAAAATGTGGAAATATTGAAGTTTTGGAGCCAACTCCAAATATCGAAATATGGAGGCGATACATTCATGTTTCCAATTTTAACCAATTTTATTTGTAACCTGCTTATTTTACCTCACTCATCAGCCAATGTTGAACGGATATTTTCACAGGTTAATCTAATGAAAACTAAGTTGAGAAATAAGCTTAAAACGAGCACAATTTCATCTTTACTTCTTTACTGACTCATGCATACATGACATCATGCATAAGTTTAAAAATTCAAGTTTTGGAAAACGCGCGATTTTATGGAGCCTTTTTTTTGTTGAGGTTTTGGACTACCCAACCAGCTCTGGCCCTTAATAATGGAAGAAAAATGAGATTTTCTAACGAAAAGTGTCGAGCTTATCTAC